GGCTAATAGTAATTTAAAGTTTCAGATACTCTCAAGTTGTAGGAATGCCGTCCTTGTTTCGCTAATTTATACCTTTGTATTAGTCTTGAAATAATCCTTGTTCATCTATCTTACTGTGCAAGCGTCTTTTATTACAAAAACTGTTACACATTTGGTAGTCTTCTAAATTAGAACTTTTCCCACGTGAGATATTATTGTTCAGTGGTCGAAAATAATTAATGAGTAATGGCAACGCACTCAATATCTTTTAATAACTAGTAGGTATAAAGAAGTGTATGTGAAACCTCCACTAATAATCCATACTCTACTACAGTTGATCAACTCACTGTTATTGTGGGCGGTGTTCGAAATTTAATTGTGATATAAAATGTGCTACGCAATAGCCACCAAACTAACGTATTGAGCGAGAAGAGTGAAACAGTCTATAGGGCCACTGAATAGGATACATAAATACTCACATATATATAAACTTCTGTTCTTTAAAAAAATCAATACATGCATTACTTCTTCAGGTCATTCTGGATTATCATCAAACAACCTTTTCGTTTGTCTACTTCTGATCAGCTCAACAAGTGATTTTTTTCACTTGGCTTTGAGCCACAACAAGTGTGAAGGCCAATTATGTTACATGAACGACTCGACAGTAATAAGAGGTATTCAAACAAAACAAATGCATCATTGCGACTACATAAACCAGTAGCTAGGATAAATGACACATGGAAAGGTCTAGGCGAAATATAGTGGGTTCGAATATCTGAGAGAAAATTGATGAACTGGAATGCAACAAATACAGCTATCCAGCTAGGGCTAAGTCCCAAATAGGACGAAAGGATGTGTATCTTGGATTTCATTGCTAGCCAATATTCTAATCCCGTTTTAATTGTAAGTTGTAGAGAAACACCTTAACTAATAGTAACATCAGCATAAAAAGTAAATTTGCGCAAAACAATGTATTTTTTTCAGTAACTGAAATAGAAAGAACTTTAAAAAAAAAGAAACCAAAACAAGGAAAGAACACAAGAAAAAGAAACAGAACAAAACACAATCTTCCTTAGGTAAAAAATTACATTTTCACTATCTTATGACCAGATGAAATATTCAACAAAAACAACAAAAAAAAATAACGATTCACTTCTCTACTATCATCTTCATCCTGCTTGTTTTCTCTTCTTTTGATGAAAGTTCTTATGCGTACCATAATTATTATCATTACACAATTTTGCCCATACAATCAACTACAATCTGGATACAGATGAATTAGTGATAATAATAATAACCATCAATATTATTATTATGTGAATTTCATAATGAATGTGATGAAATGGAATAATTGCAAATAAAGCATATATATATATATATATATATATATATATATATATATATATATATATATATATAAGTATGTACACAAGACCTTAAGGAATATATGTTAATAATAGGTAGGTTAATAGGGATAAAGTACATATGAGTAATAATAAGAACAATAGTGATCCATTCAAGATTCAATTATATCAGGTTTTTAAAACTGAAAAGCTTAAAATAAATTGAGTGATTATATGCCTATTACTCTTTTTGTATATATATATGCATAGGGATCTACAGCCAGAACAGTGTTGATTAAAAGTAATACGACTAATCAACCTAAAAAAAACAACAAAGCATATGGTCTATGAATTATATAATAGCACAAATTGCCTTGATAATTTCACAACGTTTACCACAGGCAAAGATAGAAATAGTAAGCATATAAATATATATATGTATGTATATAAGTAGTATAACAGGAATAAAACAAGAAAAAGGCAGCAAAAGATAGGCAACTTGATTACGTGCGAAAAAAAGCTGTAATATAAGATGACATAATAGTTCATAAGTAATTCTTTACGAATCTCACCCTCCCCTCACGTCCCAAAAATACAGTTAATCAAGAATAAAGATAATAATAGTAATAATAAAGATAATCACCTAATTTATGAGCCTATTTTAATTAGCAACATACGAAAAATGTCAGTCTGCGTGTTTAAAAAAAAAAGCACAATAAAAGTTCCCTAGACACACAGAGTGAGAGAAAATTCAAAAAAGATTAAAGTATTTTTATTATGTACAAAGAGGCACACATAATCGGAGAAAGTATATATATATATATAAAAGCAAAAAGAATATTCGAGAAACCAGTGAGCAAATGGGAAATAACCATCTTTTTTTCCGAAAAAAAACAAACAAACACTAGGAAAGTAAACAAATATGTTCAGGTACATTTTTATTTTTAAAAAAGCCAACATCAAAACAACGCATACACCGGAGAAGAAACACTTTCGTTATGAAAACAACAACAACAACACCACCACCACCAACTTGATGATAATAGGCAAAATTGATAAGACAAATAGATAATAGAAACTTGATTCATGATTGTTAAAAAAGCCTTATTAATAATAGGTTTACTAAGAGAATGATGAATAATAAACAAGCAAAATACAACTGAAAACACAAATAGGCATATACATATGACATCCGATGACAGCTGTTATTGGAATAAAACACAAGAATATACACACACATGAAATACCTTCTATAAAATATTACCATAAGAACAACAAATATGAAATACTATAACTCAATTATATTGTTTGAATGATTAATGATGGTATATATATATATATATATATAAAGGGATTTATCATCCATTCATTCGCTTCAAACGCCACCTATCAACATTAAAAATAGATTAGACTGACTATATCTCTTTATTTCAATGGATATACATAAGTAAAACTTTGAAAGAAAGAAAAAAAAGAGAAAAGAAATAACACACTTTACACAAGAAGAGAAATGTGTCTAATTAGAGAACATTTACATGTACTTAAATTAAGCACTTTTCAGTGTGGAGGGGTATTAACTTTTTCTCTTTTAAATTATCATTTAAGAAAAAGGCACAATGATAACAACAAAATAATTAAATCAATTGTATTTGACAAAAACAAGTATATGACTGTATGTGTGTATGTGCGTGCGCGCGTGTATGTTGTATGTATGTACGTAATGGGGGAGGAGGAGAGAATTTGCCCCAAAAGAGAGAAGAATACACCGAGTAAAATTATTGTTTTCTTTTCATAACCAAAATATAAATAAAAGAGAATATTAAAAGAAAAAGAAGAACAACAAGGAGAACAAAGTAATAATAATAGTGGTCTAGCAAAATTGATCTTTACAAGCAACATTATATAAAGGAATGCTAATTCATGTTTTAAAACATAAAACAAATAAAACACAATGATAAGAAAAACATATATCATTGATAAAATAATATTAAATGATAATAAAGAGTAATAATAGAAATGAATAAAAAACAATTAAATTGTATCTAATATAAGATGATCCGATCAACATATTTAATACACACACTAATTGACTGTTGTTATTCACTTTAATGGAAGTGTTTTTTTTTGTTTGTTTGATGGAAAACAAATTAATATCATTGAAGAAAACAACAACAACAACAACAACAATGATAATAATAATGACGGATGAACTGACTATTGTTGTTAACACCATTTTATATATTAGAGTAAATAATGTTTAGAAGAAATTAGTAAATGTATAATAGAAGCAAGTTATAATCAGCAGTGAATTAAATATAGTAAGAGAATAATTATTAAAGACTTCAAAGATTATTGTTTATAGTATATATAGATATATATAAGAAGATCCTTCTTTTATCGATTTCCATTTTGTTATGAAACAAAAGATAGAATAATGGACTACATTCATGAATGTAATTGATAGTATTTTATTATGAATTACGAAAAGAAAGTGATTATTATTATTATTTCACAAGACTCCACATACGCATACATACATACACAAGAGAACTGCTGCCAAAGTAATGACCATCAGAAAAAAAGAAAGAAAAGGAATCATCTTCATGGAGGAAATAATTATTCTATTCACATCTTGTGCTTAACATGCTTTATTTCTGTAGAATAATAAATATAATTCAGAACAAAAAAGAAAGTGATTTGTTTTGATCAAGTTAGGGATAATTCTGGGAGACTATCGTCATTACCAGGTAGAGTAACATATACAGGTTATCCAATTTTCTTGTTCTATTCAAATTGAAACTATGTTTTATTGAAATAAACAAGGAAACTTGTACATGTGTTAACTGAATGGTGAAAAGTATCATGAAAATAACACATACACAAACAGTATTACCAGCTTAATAAGAGAGTATGATAACATAATAATAAAACATTACACTTTTGCCTTTGTATTTTTGTACGTGTATTAGTTTAGATGGAGAAAGGCGATCATTGTCGTTATCACTATTATTATTACAACAACAATAACAACAGCTACTACTGGTATTATTATTATTATTTACACTAACAATTTAATGATCACTATTGATACTTGAACATGGTAAAAGCTTCATGGTGTTTTAATGAATAAAAAAGAAAACAAAAAATTTAATAATAACATATTATGTTGAGATTGATTCAAGAGAATTTCACCAATGTGTGTTACTATTTATGCTTAGAAATAAAGTGGATGACATTGATGGTGTCGCGGATAATAAAAAAAGAAACTCAATCGCATAGCATAAGAAATAGAATGATCGATAGCCTATATATATATATAAAGTAAATTGAATGCATTTTACAGAGAGATAGAGCGCAGGAAAGGACAATAAGGATAGACTCCAACCGGGGTGAAATTTCAGTAATATATATATATATATATATGTATAGGTTTCCGTAAAAATAAGGGATATAACATATCATCATAGAAGATAAATAGAAGAGAAAACCCAGCAAAGTGAATGAATTAAGCAGATAAATGTATAAAGAAACAAATTACACAATCACTAACAATAATACCACTGTCACACTATAATATTGTGAGGATTTTAAACCAACCAATGAAAAAATGATAGGTTGCATCCATATTTACCGACTTCTTATGAGTAGTATGAAGGGATATTTAATCGATCGAAGTTATTATGGTGGTGGAACAGTAGAATTAGTAGAGGTAACAATTGATCCAGATAGTTTAATTTCTTGATTTGGAGCAAATGTTAAGTAGGATGCATTCATTATGTCCTGTTCGGAATTATAATGCTGATGAGATGTAGTCGTCATCGCCGTGGTAGTGCTACTACCACTACTATTACTACTACTGGAGGGAACTTTTTCATGAATACAATGCGCTAAATTACTGGAAGGAGACTGTTTATTATTATTGGGAGAAGCAAACTGACAAGAGAGAGATATTATATTTGTATTGGAACCAGTAACAGAAGTATTAGTGACGACTGTGGTAGTAGTATTAGGAGTAGAAGTAATAGTACTACTATTACTACTGATTACATTGGCTGTTGTCGTTATTATTGAACAAGTTGTAAGTGGCGGATTGACAGTTGAAGTGGTTGTAGAAGAGCTACTGTTACCAGTCTGTTGTTTCTGTTGTCCTATGTTTTTATAAAAGAGATAAAAGGAAGTAGAAAATAGAATACAAGAGTAATGGCATTTTAACTTATTAAAATTATTAATATAAATAGTTATGTACCGATTCACTCGTAATAAGACTATTAAATACCTGGCAATCGATGCTTTTTTAAATTGTTTATTCTAGTTAGTGCTTTTTAGCAAGGTTGTTTTCTATGGGACGAGGTTTCTGACCTCATGTCTAACCTTCCTCCCTTACCTGGGTTTGGGACCAGACCGGTAGTTACTCTAGAAGAACTACATGCAGTACAGTACTCATTGACAAATTCAAGTAACTTGTTCTAATCTAATTACGCATTATAACACGCATAATACGTAATAGTATGTTATTTGACAAGCAATTACTTTTGTTTAGAATTATATGTTTCATAGGAAACATAATTCTTCTTGATAAACCATAAAATAACTATCGAAATTAGGCAGCTATTTCTAATGTAACTAACATATTCAAAAAGATTACGTTCAGAGAGATAATTGTACCTTGATGATTGTTCCTTTTAAAACGCAAAGAAAAAAAGATTGGATTGATTGATTACTTAACCTTTATATGGGAAAATTAAAATGGTTACAATGAAGAGGATATGCATTTAAATATTACCATGATATTATCCGTTTCAATTTTTTTTCGCAATATCCCAGGTCATGTATGATTTAATAAGGGAAGATATGTTTACATTAGAACTTTGTGAATGAATGTAAGCGTAGACATTGAGTAATTTTTAGTATATATATATTCCCCTTTAAGTGAATATGGTTGTTACGTTTGAACAAATTATGATATCACCTTAAACTGGCGAACGGAACGAAAGTCAGCAACACAACAACAGGACAAGCTAAACTATTCTACTGCATCTCAGCCCTGCTAACTAGAGGGAGAAGATCAGTTTCAGACGATGTAAATGTATTTTCCACAAGCAATCGGAAGCATGAACCAATGACATTTAAGGTTCTTCCAAGTGGAAAATACAAATTAAAGGTAAAAATTGGCGTTTTTTGCGCAAACATGAGGAAATCAAATTTCCAAAATGAAGTCAAAAAATGAGACGGTTACTAAGTGATTTCTGGGGATCTAGCATTCTTAACAATCGTATAAGAAGTCAACTGTATAGTTGATAGGTTTAAGGTTAGTATTCCTTGAATCTCGGACAGTGGGATATAATCATTACTTTACATACTTATGATAGATCATATGTTTTTATAACTGATAGAGAACATTCAGTTCATCTGGTCCGTAATTATTTTAGGAATGTGACAGTATGTGCTGACAGTAGAAAATGTGGGTAGACTGTAGAATTTTTATCACAAGTGTATTAGAAGCATTGCAAACGGTCTGGCTACAATCTGGTGATAACGGCGATCAATGAATGGAGATGAGACAAAAATCGGCCATAATAGTGCAGATGAATTAACTTTTTATCGTGCGTTAGATCTTAGTGTTCCAGCATTCTTTCGTGTATACCTTATCATAACGTTTTTCTGAACTATATTCTCAAAGATAAGTCTTTGTTATTATCGTTTTTAGTGAATTAATTCGATTCGTGTTGGCTTTATCTCGTTGTATCAATGTGGTATGGAAACTTCTTTCGGTGTAAAGTTTTGTTATACTCTATGTTGGTTATGAACAAGTGTTCGACTGAATGCTTTGTTCTAGAATAACGACGAAAGGGTATCCAGAAAGGCATTATATTTGATAAAAATATGGAATATGGAATGTACATATGAGAGCAAAGATAGGACTATTCAAACAAAGGGATATTTCCCCTTATTTTATATAGAACCACTTCAATAATAAAAATGTTATAAAATATATCGTACAATATGATTTTAAATACAAAGGTCATTGAAAAAATCAAGGAAATTCTTAAGTTTTTAAGGTAACAATAATTTAGATATGTTGTTCAGATTATGAACTGGTCTAAGTTACTGACTGACTGACTAGTAGCAATAGGCACCTACGAACCCTATCATCACAAAGGGCTGAACCCAGGAGCTCCAGGTATCACGGAGAGCGATTAATGTTTAAATCCTTGAAGCGCATCCAATATTTTACAAGTTTAGTTTCACTCAGTTCATGGACAATTGTTCAACCATCTACCATTATCTTCGATAGGTAATTTCATTACATATCTTATTCACTCTCGATTGGCATTACACATAAATTATTAGTTGATTAGATATTATTTATCTACGACATCAGACATGAGATTTTCAGTCACTTTAAATGAGTCAAAACGCAGCAAAATTGTATACGAATAATTATGAATGTGTATTACTCTATAGAAAGTATACATTTTACGCCATTCACTAAGGAGGACTGGAATCACATCATTTTTAACTTGACATTAAAACAGGGTTCTTACCACTTTCATCCTTACGTGTGAAAAAGCGATGCGTGAGAGCTTCCTCCGGGCGAATACGAAACCGGGGTTCATATACTAACATACGTTGGATCAAATCGACGAATTTATCATAATCTTCAGGTGTATGACCTTGTTCCCCACGACGACAACTTTTAGGCCCACCAATATCAGCCCCGACAACTGTACGCAATGTTCTTGTTCCAACTCCAGAAAATTTACACTACCAAAAAGAGATTTTCAATGATAGTTAATTACTAGAAATAAGTACTGAGTAACTAAGACTGTTTAGCTAATGATAACTGAATTAATTCGTTATTACCCAAAGTAAAGCGAGATACACATGTGCATCGACTCAAGTTGATATATGCCCTCATTAGAACCATGAAATAAAATTATCAAGATAAATCCCATAGTAGTAGAAGCGACGACAGTATTCATGTGGCAAAGATTAGAGGTAGACAACAGAAAAAGGAGTAAAGATTTCGGGATTCAGCAACTAAGGGAAGGTAAATAGTGAATGCATCTCTGCCATTGTGATCGATTCCGAGTTACATCGCCCAGTATCTCAGAACATTGGTTACGATAATCACGCTTACCTCAAGTAGGTAGTTTACATCTGTTAATATAGCTGAGTCCAATGGTCAGTGAATTTGTGAACTGGTACGTTTTGATTTTCCGCATCTGGCTTACTTCCATCTAATTACTACATGAACATGGTGCTTCTAGGTAGGCAGTAGTAAAGCATACACAATATATGTCTCAACCACTTCAACTGATGAGTATTTATTATATTTTCCCTCTTTCTTAAGTACCCTATGTCTAACCCAGGCATTGCTTACTCTGTGGTTCCAAAATATACGGATGATGTTCTAAAGATACCTATTTTCAGATACTAGTAACCTACGAATATTCTCTACTCTTAATGTCTATGTTCCATACACAGAAAGTAGAACGTAACGAACCGTTGCACGGAAGACTTATCTTTCATTCGGTACATGGACATCTCGCCTACATCACGAGTGATGAAAGCAGGCAAATGTAAATCCAGATTTCTGTATCTATGACGAGATCTCCATCAGACATTAATGAATCATCAATTCACCTCATTAAAAAAGTATGAAAAATAATATTTGATAGAAAGTTTTTTTCTTCTTCAATGAATTAATGAATGTGAAAGAGTTAGGAATTAGATCATTTGAATACTTTTGTAAATTATATTCTATTGTTCATTAATTATTACTTAGAAATATTAGACATTTTTCAATGATTCAGAAGACAGAGAAAAAGAGAAACAAAAACAATAACTCAGAGATCATGAATGTATATGATTACATAGATATAATATTTCACATTATGAATTAAATTGGTTGATCAGACTTCTATAGATTATAAGACAAAACAAAATTTGTAAATTGTATCTAATTGGTTGGAAATTAATTTCTTCTAACAGAATCTGGTACAACATAATTATTAGTCAACTGATTTGATAAAATCAAATATAGTGGCTAGCATTGGAATCCAGAACGCGCGTTTCGTCCGATTTAGGACTCGTCAGCTGAATGTACATGGATCTCAGAGTTGATGTTCACTCTGGCTGGGACTTGAACCGAGTACCATTCGCTTCAAACGCCATCGCGTTATTCATTTAGCTACTGAGTCTTAAAATCAAATATGAACTGTGTGCATTCTAGTGCAACCACAGGAGCAGCTGAATTTGTAGATGCACATTGAGGAGGCCAACTCAGGTAACTTATCCTTCGTTTGCATAGACATCGCTGGTCGACAAGAGAAAGTCAACGCAAGATTGGCTGCGTAGAATGTCCTGGTGATTAATTTCGTTAACCTATATTTCAGAGCATCACTGACAACATCCCCGTTGAATTGTAGTTTCATATATTAAGGTTTCTTACGAACAGTCGAAATCTCCGACTTCTTTCTTATGTCATACATGTACTTCTTAATGAAAGCACTGGGGTAGCCGATCTCGGTCAGTGAGTTGTTGATGAATTCAAGCTACTGACTTAGAATGTCTACTGTGCAGATTTTTTTAGCTCTGCTAGTGAGACAATCTAACCAAATTTCTCTTGTACCGGGTTATTGACCCATATCGCCTTGATTGGTTTAATATTTTCGTATAAATATTCATATATACTAGAGTAAAGCCTGATGACGATCTAATTGAAAACAATATTGTTCGCTTATATGTGTTGTTCTAATTTTTAAATATGTGAAATATTTTTTATGAATATGTGCTTTACCACAGATAGTGAATGTGTTGAGAAATCACGAACCAAAGAGAAAAAACAGACAAGATAAAAGTTTACGAAGTAGTCGATAAATTGTTAACACTTCTTTTCACCTTAAAGTGACATTGCTAACTCTAGTAACAAACGAGTAAGGTAAAAGCAAAAAAACACGGGAGATTTACAGTCTGGATTGACAGATTTGGAAAATGTTAAAAACGGTATCAAACAATAAAGAAAATTACAAGAAAAGTGAACACAATTGATGAGGTATAAATGATAACAACTACATCATTGAAGAAAATGTCAAGTGATAATAGTGTAAAATAGGAAAATTACCACAAAAAAGGTAAGGAGATAACTCAGTAAAGCTGAACTACTTTTATCAAAAGTGAGTCAATCCAGAAATGAACAATCCATTTTAATATTTTGAGGCATATATCGAAATGGTATATTGTCCATTCAACGTGCGATCACTAGTATTAAAAATGAAAGGTGTTATATTCTAATGAAGAATAAGTGAATAGTAACTGGTATGAACTATTTATGGACTATTATTACATATATTCTTGTTGTATAACTGTTAAGTAAATATATTTATTTATATTCCTCTTATTATAAGCTTTTATTTAACCTGTTGGTTATGGTTATACGATTTGCTATTCTTAAGTTATTCCCAATATATTAGTTACAATCTCTCACAACCACAGCCACTTTTAATCTGGTCTTGTATAAATGTTACTATTTATTTTATGGTATGATGCGGTCTGATTTGTTTGTATATAAACTGCGTATGGCTGGAACATATGATTGATATAGCGGAGACTAACATTGGTGTTCTGGACTGAACCGGCTGAGTTAGGCGAGGAGCTACTATCTCAGGGGACCAATAAGAACTCACAGTTAACTCTAGGCTTCTCATAATGGTCAACAATTCGGTGTTCTAATTGGCAATCTTATCATGTAATAATTAACATGGGATAAGAACATAAAAGGAATTGCAGATATTTAGGTTTAAGGATAGGACTATGATTTTAAAGGTAAGTGTTTGGAATTAAAGATTAAGATATAGAACCAAAAGACTTAGGCTCCATATAACATATATATAAAACTTAACACCAATTCTAGAGTGTTCATAATAATCTTAGAAACAAGAAATTATTCATTCATATTTGCTAGATTCAGATTGGCTGAACAAAGTCAAGAATTCATCAAGGTCAGTTATGTAGTACAGCACAAACTCGTCATTTATAGTTCACAGCCTCATGAGATAATCCTTTTGTTTCCTCTATTTATCATTAGAGAAATAATATTGAATAACATGACAATAATGAACAATGGTCAAAATTTCTAAGAATCTAGTTCTAGGAGCAACTAAAGACACCAACTGGTGAACGGTCTCTGGTATTTTTCAGACATAGTGAAAGTTTTAAAGATAACTATGACTGGAACCTCTTTTTGAAATAAATAGTCTAAGAGAAACAAATCTCATCATTTATAGTACAGGGAACAAAATATTGTATTTTTCTTTGTTAAAAAGATTCACTCACCTCGTAAGTACACTCTTGTTTAGTCCATACACGCTTCGGTTTGTAAAACACAGTCCCAGATGTTGATAATAATACGCCTGTATTCAATTTATCAGCTATATTGTTTGATGTATTCGAGTTATTATTACTATCACAGCTATTTGTAACACCAGGGTTGACTGGATTTTTTACATTTGTATTACTATTGGAGCAATAATTAATACAATCAGCACCACAGGCTGAACTACTACTGATGGTGGTAGTAGTAGTAGCATTAGTAGTATTTTTTGATGAAGATAAAACAGTGGCTGTTGTTGTTGCTGCCACTGTATTATCTCCAGCTATTGTGTTTGTTTTAATTGTTGTTGTTAATGTCCCATATGTGGTTGTCGATGGTGTCGTTGTAGGGTTCGAGGCCGGATTAATACTAGTATTATTGGCAGTAAAGTCAGCACCACAATCAGTGGTAGAAGTACTGATTAGGTTTGTTGTTGCTGTTGAAGTAGAATTCAAATTCACCGGTATGCATTCAAAAAAGTTTGATAATTTAGGACTAGCTTCAATCATATACACCGGTGGAAAACCAAGCACTTCGATAATTTGGAGCAGTTGTTCAAGCTAAAGAGTAAAATACAGTAAAAAACTAATAAAAAAACTCAAGTAGGAAGGGAGAGGGGTAATAATAACATGGATAAAATTGTACTTTTAAAATACACTGACTATAAACGACAGTCAAATTGAGATGTATTAAAGCGTTTAAAATCTATTTGATTTTTGAGAAATTTTTTTACAAATTACAATTCCATTGAACGATATTGCGACACATTCCCTACAGGTATGCGCCTATCTGATTAGATATGCAAAAAGGTTATATACCGATGTGATGTGGAATAAAAAACTTCATTCTATGCAATATATGCATAACGTTTTGATAACAATCAGTTTCATACTGAGTAAAGTGTACAGGACTAATAAGGGTTACATTCGAAGATGATTCAACATCATTTTTTGTTAAAAACAAATAAACAGAGAGATTTCAGTTTACCGATTGTGATAATTCCCTTGTTTATACAATAGACAAACAGATATGGTGTGTTAAAGTTGTTCCAATAATTAATTGTTTATACAATTTATATACAACTTGGTACAGCTAGACACAAAAAATAAAATGTGAGAGCTATGATGCTTAGCGGGCGAATTCCTGTGAGCTATTGATTGAAGAGTTTTGTCCACAAAGGAGTGAAGATGCAGTCTTGTGGAAACCAGTGAATAAAGATAGGTTTGTTCAACTCTTGTTCCTTAGGGTCCTGGAGCCCATGTGGACCACTGGTATGGAATCATTATTTCCCAACTCTTCTAGGTGAACCTTGAATATTTACCCCTCAGTTTCAGTAGCTGATGCCCGTTTTTTGTCCCCCCATTTTCGAAAAGATACTCCAACCACATGAAGACAGTGAGTAGAACCTATATGGCAGAGGTTGTAAGTATATCGTCGTATGAGAGTAAATTGTCTCTAATCCCGACTATATCAAGACATACAGACTGATTGAGTAACAACTATGAAAGAGAGTCTACACAATTGAGTCTAATATAAAAAGTGATTATCTCTACTGACAATTACTTTTGCATAAGATGTTGGGTTATCAATATAAGATAACCTTAGACATAGAGCTAGATATAATAAATAATGAAAGAGAATTATAACAACAATATATAAAAAACAAACCTCATTCGCTCCGCAAAATAATGGTTCTCCAGTGTGCATTTCGACTAAATACAGCCAAGTGACCACATATCAATACCCAAGCCATAGTCTAAATTGAACAATACTTCTGGAGAGCTTAATATGGAAAAGAGAAGACATGATTTTTTTGAGAAATAAGCAATAAAAACGAGAGGTGGACATAATAACCAACAATACTAGTAAGTAAGAAAGACTGGTTGTTCTCATAATTTCTTTGCATTAAGCGTTATAAATGAAAGGCAAAGTACAACTGAGTGATATATGATAATAATGGCAATGCTCCAGCGAAGAAAAACGTGAGACAGTACTAAAAAATAACAAGAAGAAAAGACAACTATATCAAGTAGCTATTTGAAATTAAGTACATAGAGTGAGTTTCGAATCTTTGGATTAATTATTTGATCGTATATCGTCTGCCTAAATTAAATGTACAACGATTTCTGTGTAAACCATTTATCCTTTACCCTTTGTTAACATTTTGGAATAACCTAGTGATGAGCAGTAGATTGCGATCCCTAAATTTTCTTACATAAATGGGTGCATACAGTTATCTGGAGTTCAATAGTTATCTTCAGCTGAAATCAGTTGATTAAGGAATATATAAATATATCTGGTAGCGAATTGAAGTAATTTTTAGTGTGAAGAATAGATTTAGAGACAAGTGTTAGTCTAAACTACTTTAAAACAGTATCAACCAACAATTAAAAAAAAACAAGGCAAAGCACTACATCAAATTATGAGACTATATATTATCATGCAACATATTCTAGGGAAGACAAATATTCTTAGAACTTTTAATGTGGAGTTTAGGTTAAACAATGAGTTTTATTAATAAATTATTGGAGTAGAGATTGGATGGTCGGGAGCCTGTCGTCTAGGTGACTATTTCAAGGCACTTAGACCCACAATCGAGTTTTCATCTATATATATGATATGTGGATGGCACCTGACTATTTGTGATAAAGATATCGAACTCAATAAATCAAGTTCATATTACAATCAGGATTACACTCAGAATTTCACTTCATGAATATCCTATTGAAAAGAAGATCAGACTATTAGTTACTAAGATCCATAAATGGAAGGTCATGATGGAATGTATACAAAATTAAGAAGTTTGGTCATATTAAGTCGGAAAAGAAATTTGATCTACACTTTCTATAATCCATTTCTATAATCAATTTGCAGCAAAATATGTAATCTCCGAAAGATATTTATCAATAGTATTAACTTCCACAAGCTTAAATTCAAAACAACGAACTCAAATAATATGTGGGAAAACTTTCCATGAAGACATTGATGAGTGTATCGATGAGTTTACTCGCTCTTGTGGAGTAGGTTCAGTCGACTGCACAAAAGCGAGCTCTTCCAAAACATACCTCAAAACATCACTCCGACTGGTTATCAAAAAAAGGAGTATGGTAGTTATAACCCATAAGTCCTAGGTCAAGTTGTCCCGCTATAAGCAATATTTCTTTGTCATCCATACAGTCAAACAGATTGGTTTGAATCAGATAGAAATTAAGGAAGTATTCACTGAAGAAGAGGGAGAGGGTTGAAAACACCTTCCACACAACTGATCTTAGCTTTTCATTGTTTAGTCGACTGAAGATGTTTACTCAAACAAAGGATAATTCTGCCTCTGCTTTATATCTATTAATTCAGCTGCTCCTGTAGAGGAAGCTATATTGAGGATAATCGGCAACTTAACCGACAAATGAATGAAGATATCCCTATGTGATTTGCAAAGAGTAAAACAAAGATAATATGTAGCTAGGTCTTATCACAGTCAACAGCAGTCAGATGTCGAACACCACTAAACTATTCCAAATGATCAATCATAAACCTTCGCATTTTTTTCCAACATGGTTCGACGTGCTTTCCTACATACAACTAAAACAGTAGGGATTTGAGCCTACGACCTAGTCTTATATGCTAAGAATAATTGGTCTTTTCCTTGACCTGATTAAAATAAAAGGTTATTTGATTCTTTAAAATCCCTTGTTTGTTTGCCTTTCTTTACTCTATTTTGTATCCATATACATGAACAGATTGTTTGCACACTTACAACGTAGTATTAATAATTTTTAATGAATAATAATCTAGTGTTTATTATCCCAGGTTTGGCCTGCTTCCTGTATTAAAATATTCATTCAATCTGTCTTTATTTTTGTCACTGCCAGTACGCCAATTATCTTAGTGTCAATTCATACTATTTACGTTATCGTTTTTCAATGTGATTAATGACGAATAACTTGACTTGGTTTGATTTTTTGCACATGTATATAAACATTACTGTACATTAGAGTAAAGCCTGATAATGATTGAATTGTTTGAAATTAGATCTGTACACAATTGAATTCCATTTAGGTGGTTTAAGAGTTAAGTATTCGCGTGATGGATACGGAGGATCCACCTAGGGGAGTTGGAAAATCCTGATTCCAAACAAATGGTGCACATAGGGCTCCAGGATCCTGAGGAAACAAATGGTGTATGAACCTATTGTTGGTCACCGGCTACCATGGGACTGAATCACCTCACGTTGGCCCACTGCCTTGTGGACTGGACTTTCAAATTAAAGGCTCGTGGAGTGACCCCTTAAAAAAACCACATGTTTCGGAACCCGGGCAGTATCACAGCCCTTACACAAACCGAATGATTTATATGGTGCAAACATATTTGGTGCCTCCTTGTGTCAATGTTCATGTGTTTAAATAAGTAAAAATGAAATAATTCGAGAGTGACATCGAAGGTCCTGGGGTTCCATTCCTAGTACCAAGCTCGTGGATGTGCACAGTCGACAAGTTCTATACTAGGATAAAAACAATTACCCAGTGCTTCCAGATCCTCAATTACTACCTAACTTCGATCGGTTTGCAATCGTGATAGAACACAAAAAGCTATATCACTGGGAAAATTTTTTTAACGAAATAGTCTGTATACTTTCATAAATATATATGTTCGCTAATACAAACTACAACAAGAAAGAATAGACAAAAGAATGGGAAAAATGGTTAAAAAAAATCAAACACCTCGACTTCAATTACTTATATTCATAATCTAGTGAGTCGAGCTTACTCGTCCTCTTTTCCTTTGTAAACTTCCAAAAAAGTGTTACATTACGTAATAAGAAGATTGCTTTAAGTATTCTAGAACTAACACCCTTGAAAACTATTCAGAAAACAAAACAACCCTGTTGAAACTTTAGTTCTTTCACATTTCAAACAACTTGTTTGTTATTGATTGATAATTCAGTTTTTGCATGGAAACTCACATACATTCCATTATTAAATGGAAATAACTAGAGAGTTATTAAATGGTATATTAGTTGAAGAAAGAAACCCATGAAATAATAAATGAGTTCATTATAATGTTATGCAAACATTATTTGCCATTCTTCCATTGTTTTAAGAAAAATAACGAAGTAGACATGTATTTAATTGAGAGGAGAAAAAAAACACAGTCATCAAGAAAAGTGTTGATACGGGAATCAATAAATCGGTCAAAGTCTTATTCTTAGTATCAATATGCTACTCCTGTCTATGCTACTTATATTGACATAAGTAGTATAAAACACTAGTCAGGAATAGAATGTCTGGCAGCAGAAGGTCGAGAAGAAAAAAACGGGAACAGAAAGCAATTTGTATGGAAGTGATAGAACAATGTATTATGAGACGATCGATCGACATTTGCAAAGTATCAGTCAAGTTTGAGACAATTGATTGGGATTTTGCAAATTAAGTATTTACTGTATGGTTATCAAATTTTACTAAGACGATATGTAATTTTGTATTCAAATACATTCGATTGCCCCTACCTATGTTCTCATTCACTGCCCTCCTACTACTACTGTGCATACTATTGAATAATAATAATGATAATAATGGCCCCCGAATGCCCTGGTATGACCGAGAGTGGATTGGGCCAGCCCTCCCCCTCGAAATGCTCTCACACGGCCACGCGTATACAGACTCTGTCAGGGAAGTCCTACTCAATGCCTTCTCATGGCATTACTGTTGTTTACGAAATTGAGAGGACGAAAAGCGAATATCCGGCGCCTTAACCGGATTCCAAACCAAATCAATGGTGCACACGGGCTCCAGTATCCTGAGGAAACAAATGGCGTATGAACCAATTGTTGGTCACCGGCTACCATGGGACTGCATCTCCTCACGATGCTCCAGTGGAGCATTCGCTTCGGACATTCGCTTTTCGTTCCCTCATTTTCGTAAACAACACCCCCGCCACGAGAAGGCAGTGAGTTGGACTTCCCTGGCAGAGGCTGTATACGCGTGGCCGTGTGAGAGCATTTCGAGAGGGAGGGGTGGCCCAATCCACTCTTGGCCATACCAGAGCATTTGGGGGCTAAATTTTTATCAACAATTCTATACTGATAATATTAAGGATAAAATGATTCAAATATTACATAATATCATCAATGAAATAATGAATTAACTTACCGATAAAATCTTGATTGAATATATTGATATACTTTTTCATGTACATGACATGAACTACCAAAATCAATAACTTTAATTGCTGAACGTTTTGGATTAACTAATAAAATATTTTCCGGTTTTAAATCACAATGTATTACTTGTACATCTGATCTAGATAGAAATACTAATGCAGCGCATAATTGTTGAGCAAATTTTCTTGTTAAATTTAATGATACACCACGATAATTTGTATTACCAAGTAAATCATATAAATTATAAGAGAGTAATTCAAATACTAAACATAAATGACCATGATAACTGAAATGTCCTTTTAAATTCACTATTAAATTTTTAAAAAAGAATGAAAAATGAACATATAAGTAGTATATAACATTGTATACATTAAAAAAAAGAATGAAGACAATAATATAAACTATTTTTGAATATTATTAGTATGTGGATTGTAGTATTTTAACAGTTTAATTCGTGAGTCAATCTAAGCTACACCATCATTCCTGAATACGAAAATGAAATTAATGTCGTAGTCAGTGGAAAGTGGTTACAACATAATATGTATGATGACGTATATACAATAAGGTATGTTGAATAGTTGTTGTTGCTACCTTGACGTGGTGGTCGGGCTTGCCTATCGTGATGACCCAACCAAGCTATATTGGCTGGAACATATGTTCCTGTAGGTTTTACCATGCCAGGCAGGTCGGTCGAAGAGCGGTAAGACTAAAAGCAACAATCCTAAGGTTCGAAGGAGAAGTCGTACTGCTGACTGTACAGAGATGTGACGGCAGTAGGGTGTTTCCTTCAGACAACCAGCATGACAGCGATGCTGCCTTCCCACAAGGAGGAGTGGGGTTAGAAAAGGTCGGCCCTAGAAATGCACACCTCGCCTTATCCCACGGATATCCGTCTCCGGCGGTAAGGTCTCAACAAGTACGGAGCTAACACAAAAATTACCCATAAAAAGGTCGTGTGTGACCGACCTCAAGCAGTTGCCCCTTGGGCACTGAGGTCACGCTCCCAGGTCACTAAAACCACCTCTAATCTAATTTCTTTTTCAGGTACCTCCAGAAGAACCCTTCCACGGTGTGGGCGACCGGGAAGTGATAACCGCCCTCATGCCTCTCTGACTGATATTGAATAGTGGTGATCATAGTGTTATGCAATAAGATATTAAGAATAGATATCAACACCGTTAGAGGTCTACTACTACAACAACACTTGACATAAAATAATTGATTTTTGATAACAACAAACTTTTGTAATGGAATCTCTACATGAAGTATTCAATAATGCAGGAATAGGTATTTGTTAAGTTTTATGGATTTCGGATATTATTGACATACTGAAGTTTACACAATTGTCAGACAAACAATGAAAACCAGGAAGCACTGGGAATCTGTTTCGTCGTAGCATAGAACTCTTCAGTAGTGCAGATAGATGACTTTTAACTAGATATAGAATGCAGAACTTTCAGGTCATGCAGTAAGAGCAATTAACCTTTAGAATGAGCCAGGCTGCAATGATTTGACTTTAATCAGTTTGTGATATTGCAACAACCTTCTTTAAATACCATCATTAATAGTAGGAAAGTGCCTCACACAATATATGGTTAAATTCCATTAGTTAAGTCATGGATGGTTTTAATGTGTACTGCTTAGGAGTTTTATGGTCGTACGAAAAAGCTCCTTAATGTTCCCTGATTTTCATTGTTTGCTTAACAAAGATTAGTTCATGATGTAAACTATATAGTTAAACAATCCACACAATTTTCTATAATTATTATATTATTGAGATCAATTTTACACCGATCAGCATTACAGACTATAATGTATGCATAAAAAGTACATTCAACAGGTAATCCAGACCCTTTAAATATCAGAATAACAAGACATAAATTATAATTTATAAAAACAAATATAAACTTTGCTTAAATGAATGGTTCTACATATCAATCTATTACTATTCAATAGGGAGTATTTGCATTTATAAGATGACATGACTCAAAATCGTTTGCAATGGCGCAGGTGCATACACTCTTTGTGTTCTCCCAAATTCTAATCTCCTGATTCCTCCCTGTCTCTTTTTTCTCTTCCCAAATTTATTTCACTGGATTATACTCTTTAAATAACATTACTGCTTATACTCTTACTACCTCTACCACTACGGGATTCGAATCGACAACTGTATCTCAGTGTTAATGTGGTATGGCAACTCGAACTGATATACGTACGTACGAAGTTCAACGTTGTTGCTGACTGACTCCATTTATAAGAATGACAATGGAGTATAAAATATTGAAAGTCTACAAGTTATTACAATGATATTTAAATATAAGATTATACAATAAGAAAAAATTACATCTATTGAGTTAAAATGAACAAACAAAATAGCTTCATCATAAATATGATCCAATTATTCAATCTATTAACATACAACTGATAGTAATAATAATAATCGTAAGGATCACTTTCATAATTATGATACATGATTTCAATTTCACTTGTATAAAATGATTCTATACACATGTACACATCTAAACCAAGTGTTCTCTTAAAATAATATGACGTATAGACACCTACCTACCTACACACACACACACACACACACACAAATGAATATCAGCTGATAATGTGTTGGATGATGATTTGATAAACCTATGGAACATATACATTCACTGAAAGATATTCAACAATAAACCAACTAAATTCACACTACCAATGTGTAATCAATGTCGGGTTTTTTTTTCTTGAAACAAAAAAAATTTATTATTTGCGCATAGATAGATTGTCAAGAAAATAATGAAAAAGATAACTGAATGAAAATATAGATGGTAACGCGTTAACAACAATACAGTCATTAATTGATAAATAAGGCAGAATACAAAATCGATATACATATAATCATAGATGGTGATAATTCAACTGTCATTACATGTGTTCAGTTTGATGATAAGAAGTGATAAAAATAGTATATGCTTTAAATAACACATGAAATGTAGATGTTAGATATGGTGTTTTAAAATAGAGAATAATTTGTAATTTACTAAATCAGTGGATCAGATATCAATTTTGAATTGATCGAAGCGGTTAAGACATGCAATATAAATACCTAACCACCGCCTACCTCGACAAACGAAGTTGTCTAATGTAGAAGTGGGTTCGAAGAAAGTTAGAAGGAGAGAAATTAAAACACATGGCATTAGTTCATGAAGTCATGTTGGAAGAAGCAGACCATCTAGTTGAGGTCCACCTAATAAACCGAGATCAGTTAGTGGTTGGAGACAATTGGTGATAAATAATATTGCGACTTTATTCATTCAATAAATAGTTGTAACACCTGAATTGATAGAAAACGTTCATCATAAAAGATCAGTGGCGTATAGTAAAAGGCAGAGTGGCCTAATTTAATATGGAGAAGCGATCGACACACTCAGCTACATCATTGTCTATCATTAGTTCAGACGTTGACGTAGACCAGTCATGAAGCAGCATTTTGGATTTAGAGAGAGAGAAAAAATGCTTGGGTTTTCATACAAGGTAGTCAGAAAACCGTATATTTTGTCAGTTTTCACCAGAAACAGAACTATATCATCATTCCCTAATACCCTGAGTCTGACGTCACCACTACTTACCCGGTGATTCTAACACATGCGAGCAATATTTCTAAGATATTTGTAATCAAATACTAGTGACTTACGAGTATCCTCTCGCCTAATGGTCACGTTTCCTAGCCGTCAAGTAGACCAGAACGAACTGCTGCTCAGTATACTCGTCCTTTAATTGATGGACTGATATCGCTTTCGACATAAGTGACGTAAGTTATCAAAAGCCAAACGAGCTTTGCTGAACTGATGCAGAAATTTCGTCAGACACCAACCCATTAGGGCTGCCCAGACTTCCAAGATAAGTGAAGTTGTCGACGCGTTCAACTACATCATTCCCTATCTTAAGCTAGAATATTAGTCAACCTAGTTGTTAAAACTGCATCATCATCTTTGGACTCTGGATTTATTCCATTTGGATCAGCTGCTCTATCTCGTTTCAGATTAGCTATAGCTTTTTGAACCTCAGCTAGAGTCAACGGACCTACTTCAATGTTCCATTCAGGCTGTTTGGAAATGGTGGGTAGTTGTAGAGTAGTTAAGGGTCAGTTGAACTGTTCCTTAAAGTGTTCCTCTCATTATACTGGGCTGAGAGTAGATAAGTGTCATCTTTTCCCGAGATTGGCTTACTTACACTTGACTTCTTAATTCCAGTTTATTTTACTAGTCTGAAAAGTTGTATGGCGTTATCTACAGCCACCACCTTTTCCATCTCTTTCGCTTTCGTTGTCCACCACAGCTCACTACCGTTCCGTATACTTTTAGTCGAGCTAAATCTGATTTGTTTTCGCTCCTCATCGTAGGACCAGGCACATATGTGCATCGGTCCAAGTCGCTACATCTCATTAGCACAACAAGATCAACACCGGATTCATAGAAGTAGTGGTGGTAATATATAGAAGAAAGATTGCAATAAGGATATAGTACAGGAAGAAAGAATTAGTTCGTAGAAAGAAAGATATGAAGCAATTTTAATCTCATAGTTTAAGGGAAAACAGAGAGTATATACATCTACACTCCTCATCATGTTCGGAGCCTGATGGCATGGGTTTTACGAGTCCATCAGTGCAATAGATGTTGCAGAAATCGACTGGCTGTTTGTAATCCTTTGGTTCAGATCAATAATGGTTGTCGCTGTTGTTTTCACGGCTGTTCGTACATCTTTCCAAGCAACATATGGGTCAGCATCGTTTTCAAAATTCCCTAAGTCGCTCCTGGAATTTACCTTTGGCTTTTATATCACTGAGTTCAACTCCCATGGGTTCATATATAAATTAGAAAATACACTTAAATTCAAGGTTTAAGTGAAACATAAATTGAATTACAGTTTTCCATATAGAATTACGTTTCAGCATACTGACTGACCAGTATCAAGCTAATCAACGCTAGTGGATAAATCGAGAAGAGCTTTGAGTCTTTTTGTGTGAAAACACTACTAAAAAACTTTTTTTTACTGTAACTTTAACTCGCTTAACCTACTGTTGTGTTTTAGAATGTAATTATGTTCCTGTTTAAGATGTTTTCTGATTTAAAGATCAGTGTAACGGAGTAGTGTTTAAGGAATACTAAGCAGCAAAAGTAATAAGGTCGAATAAACAAGACTTTACACAAAGTAAATTGTATCGTCCTAACCTGAATTTTGTTATTATCAGCGTCAAGGTTATTCAGTAATTGTTTTAAACAAAAGAATAAAAATTAAAAGCTTTAAATTTTTTTTACTAAATTTCCTAATTACTTTGATGCTTAAAATTTAATCAATCATAACCAATGGTGTTCAGGAGAAAAATCGTTGAAGAACATCGTCATACCACAAAGCAAAATAACATTGGAATAATACAGTATCAATGACAAAAATAAAAAAACTAGACATAAGGAATATGTCAGAAAGGGTTTTTGTGGATATTATAGTGATTTCGATTTCAGCAGTGCGCATCCACGAATCTCGAGAAACAGGATCGTGGATGCACACTGCTGAGGAGTCCCACAATAGGACGAAACGACCGTCCAGTGCTTCCAGGTTTTCCGTGGTGGTCTAGCTTTAATTGACTCATGATCTCAACTAAGAATATATTTTAAAAAGACAAAGTGGGAAATTATGATGCATGAAGGTATACTAGATCTGAAGATCTAGAGGAAAATAAAGAGTGAATAATTATAAGTCATGTCACTGAACATTTCTAACCACTGGTCATGATTATTGTACGAACACCTCAACTATCTAGTCTGTACGTATCGTCACAGCTCAGACCAATAGTCGATAATTGGTGTTACTTCTTAGTTCGGTCGGGAGGAGCTTTCTTCCCAACATCTTTTTACACAAGCAAGCATCGGCCATTAAGGCAGACAGTGTTCAGGCATAAATATGACACATGTCCTAACCACATCATAGTCAATGAATATTCAATTTCATACACTGATTTAACATCTTTTCCTAGCCTTGAAATTCCTTATCACTCAGTCGTTTCATGTTACACAAGTAATGCTTCGAAAACGCATATGATTAAAAATCTGTAATCTACGCACATCTCTATGTATAGATCATGGATTCATAATCATAGAAAGAGTAATGCTACACAGTCTCCTCGTTAGTAAAGATGATTAATCCTTCTTAAAGGTTAAATTATAAAAAAATTGTAACTCCTTAGAGGATATCTATGACGAAATGAAAGATAAAGTATGATAAACTAGAAAGTTTAACGAATATTAATTTAAAAATTGTTTGATAAAAATGAAAGTATATTTAACAATCATTTACCAATATAATTAGCTCCAACATCTGTAGCTAATTGTTCATTCGCTTGAAATATAGACATTTCACGTAGTAATTTAATTTCAACTTCAGCTTGTTGTACAAAAGAACGTTTATTTTTAATCACTTTAATAGCGACTTCCTCTCCGGTTAATTCATCGAAAGCACGAACAACCTATACGTATGACAGAAAAAAAATTACAACATTTATTAGAAATAATTCTGATTAATTTTTAATGATTCAGATTGTATTTCAGTCAATTAGTTAGTTATAACTTAGAAACTAATAGGTATGTACATCGGTTCAAGTTGTCATACCCCCCATTAGCACAGATGGATGAAATTATAAAACCAAATCCCAGAATAGTGGAGGTAGCAACAGTATCAATGATAATAGAAAAGATTAAATATCGAAGATAGGACTCGACAGGAAAACATAAATTAGTGAAATTAAAAAATCATAGGGAATTTAAAAGCGTACATTATGGGGGTTGGCAAAGAATGGATGCACCTGTGCCATTCCAAAGGATTATGAGCCATATCATTCAGTCTAACCACTACTTACGATAAACATGCGGACGCTAACCAGGCAGTCTATACCTATTAATATATTGCAGTGACTTCATGAACTGATGCTATGTTTTGGTTTGCCGTCTCTAGCTTTCTTCTAGCTAAATACTACATCAGACAACATAGTCCGTCGAGGAAATAGGTGGTTGGGCATACGTAACATATGTTCTAACCTCCTGTCGATTTGCCATTCTGCCTCGTATTATTATTAATGGCTTCATGCAATATTATATTTTGGTACAATAGAGAATTCTCAGCACGAGGTATTTCAACAAGTTTATTTTAAAAAAACAAAACAAAAAAATGATCTGAATCTGTACAAATTTTTAATTAGAGACATGTTTGAGAATACAGGTTACTGACTAGGTCAACTCTAACAACCTGTTCGTCACAGAGAATATTTGCTAGGTAAGGTGTTATGGAACTTTTATATCTTTGCTTGCATGGATTTCAATGTATCGACATCTCGTTCTACCAAAAGATGTACCTGATTTCAAACACCGTTGAGGATTAAATGGTAACGGTTACGAGGGTGATTGGTCAATTAAACACAACCACTACAAAGTAACACCAAGACTATTGACCTTCGACACTGTGTTTACCAGAGTTCCAATAGCACAAGCACTATGGGATCCCAACATGGTGTTTAGGTGCTGTTCATGTCTCAGACTAAAGGTAACAGCCTAACATTTAGATGAATTAAGTATGAAATCATTACCAACAGACCAACAATCAATACGAGACAAAAACTCATTCATTTCTAAGGGTTATAAAGAGTTAGAAATCGGCATACATACAATGAGATCGTTCGCATATTTCGCCAAAGTGTTTTCTGTGATAGATGGCAGAACATGCAGAAAAAAGAGAAAAGAGGTGAGAGAACAGCTCCTTGTGGCACACCTTTATGAGACAGTGAAGATGTTGAACGCTCCCCTCCAGAAAGTGTATTGTTTTCTTCCAGAGAGGTAGAAACATAGCCAGTTCGTTATCCAGCTGTCAATGTTGACGCTGACTAACTTGTTGAGTAAAAGTTGTCTTGGAATAGAATCAGAAGTACAGTCCAGAAAAGCGCATCTAACATACTTCTTACTCTTTTCTAAGCTGAACACTATATTGTAATGCAGAACAGCGACGGCACCTAATGTACTTACTCTACTCCTAACCCAGGCATTGCTTAATCCGTGGTCTCAAGGTACGCAAGTGGTGCTCCAGAGACACCTAAGACTTATTACTAGTAACCTACAAATGTCCTCTACTTTTATTGGCCATCTCTCACACACATAAAGTATAGCGCAACGAATTGCTGCACAGTAGACTTGTCCTCCTGTCAGTAAACGGACATTTCGCCTACGCCACGAGTTATGGGAGTAAGCGAAGCGCAGCCGAGGTTTCTGAATCCGAGCAGATATTTCGCCAAACACCAGGATTGATGAGACTCAAGATAGGTGAGGCAATACAACTACTCCACTACTTAACATTATTTCAGGCGCCGATGCTATTCAATGCTGAAGTGATATTTTGGATTTGTAAGGATTATATGTGTGACATATGTATGACATCATCTTGAAATTGTATAAAAACAAACTTTACGTACATGAAAATAACCAGTATGAACCTGTTCAACTTACACATATAACTTAGTATATAACCAGAATTAACAATAAGGCTGAATTATGAACGAACTATGCAAATAACGAAAACAAAAATAGTTCCGATGAAGCAAATATTGAGGAAAGTGTATCTCTTGGCATTAAAACGAAACGATTATTAGAAAATTTAGGATTTTCTTCTTTCTGAAGTTATTTTTGCTCTTTATCAACTACTTAAATTACCGTATTTTTGTATTCTTCTGCTTTCTCGTCATGCACAAAATGTTGTTGTATGCTATACTTTACTTAAGTTACTGTTCATTCATTATTACTCAGTTCTCTTTCATTTATAGCGTAGTTATTCCGTTATTGTCATTTCTTAACTATGTTAATGTGTGGTTATGATTTCACTCTATATTATTGTGAGTTTTGAGTCATGATTGAATTGAGTATCATGGAAGCTGGCTGCTAACGTCTCTCTTGCACTAAAGGAAAAAGATCGATAAGGGTTTATGAATAGCCGACTACTAGGTGCTCAGACTATGTATTCTCAAGGCTGTGTGAGCCATAAATGTATTTAATCAGGTCCAGGACACTAGTTTATAAACGAAAAAATGGACGCGACAAACACAAAATTACAGCCGGAATTCCGATTGATGATATTGATCAGTGTACGCAAACTACAATATCAGGGACTAAATCCCAAATTATTACTACTATTTATATTTTTATTGTATAGTAGTTAACAGTATTATTGTATTTTCATATTCCCACTTTTTTAAATCGGCACGAATGTTGTAGATTTGAAGTAATTTTCCAAATTATTAATCATTAAAATTTAGTTGTATAATTCGAGAGTAACTAAATTACTACGTTTATGTATTTCTCTTATCATAAGCTTTTCGTTAGCCATAAACTAACGGTCATAATTTGTTGCCAGTCTATTATTTACGGTGTCCCATATTCGTAGACACTTGTTCGTGTCTAATTGTTATATTTCATTTCACGGTATGGTGAAACCCTGTATACAAACGTCAGTTCGAAATATAAATATAGTAAAAGCTGGTTGCTGACTTCTTAACTCAAGGCAAGGTATTGAGAGAAGCTTGTGAATAACAAACCTGTAACAACCTAGCTTCATCGACTCAAAGTCGATAGTGCTGGTTAGACGTATAATAGACCAAGTCAGAGACATTAAGCTAAAAAGTAAATAATAGACCAGATTAGAATTAGGATTCTGATTGGCGACTTGGCACATGATACTGATCAACGGGTCTTCAGACAAAACACCTTTATTGTGAGCTTCCAAAGAAAATATTAACTATTGTTATATGTTTCATTAATTCCCAATTATTGATAATTAATAATGTAATTTTTTTTGGTTGAGATCATGAATCAATTGATGTTAGACCACCGTTGGAAACCTGGAAGCACTGGACGGCCGTTTCGTCCTAGTATGGGACTCCTCAGCAGGACGGAACGGCCGTCCAGTGCTTCCAGGTTTCCAACGGTGGTCTAACATCAATTGATTCATGACCTCAACCAAAACTTAACAATCTCCACAACCCCCATACTGATAATAATGTAATGTTCACTTCGTTCCGTCATTTATGGAATGATTGTATACAAATAATGGTTCCTTAATTTGAGTTGCAGTCGGATAATTCATGTAAGTTAATGTGTTTGAGACAAAAACATTGTGTGATTGAAATATAATAATAAAAGTTTGACTGATCTTTTTTTTCTTAGACTTAAGGCGAGGGATAGAAGAAAACGTTACGAATCAGCGGACCAATAAGAATTAAGTTTGTATGGACTCAAATTTATTCGTGTCAGCTGGGACGTATCACTAGAAGAGACTGGGGATGTTAAGTTACAGACGAAATAGAATATGCGAAGTAAAAATAATTATAAATGGAATTTCCATTGGCTTACATAGAGAATGATAGCGATTAGCATCTTAGACAAAACAAATAGTCCGCAGATTTTATATCACGAACATGTCTTAGTTAGACCACCATAAGAGTGAAAGCAATGGACGCCCGTACCGTCATAGCATGGAACTCTGCGGTGCACATCCATGATCTCACATCTGGATAGTGAACTCAGGACCTTTGGTTTCGCACGCTTATGCCAAATCTCTATACCACTGAGTTGATATCCAGCATTGGTAGTATCTAACATCAATTACCTGCAGGGGATAACTATCTCACATCTTATTTGATTGGACTCTACTGACTGGTTATGGCTTCTCACTGGAACTCCAGGAATTGAATCTAGAAGTTGGTCATATGATTATTATCAGTATATGGTTTTGTGGAGACCATACAATTTTCATAGGTCTTATGTCGCGAATTACGATAAAACAACCGTCTAGTATTTCTAAGTTTTCAATAGTGTTATAAATAAATAAATAAAAGATCTATGAAAACTCTATAATATCCACAGAACCTAATACAAATAACTTATCATAATTTGTATTTCATTTAAAGATATGATACGTGTCCATAAATCTTACAATGTCTAATATATATGTGCAGTATCAAGTATTTTAGAGAATTTAGTGGATAAGTGCTAAACGTAAATACATAATTTTCAGTGGGGATTTCATTTCAAGCTTTACTATTCACTTTATTTGCCATTTTTCATCCAGCGATTCGAAGTGTGCTGGACTGGTGTGATCACAGAAGACAATTTTAGATTATTGAAATTAAATCCCCGGTGAAAATTATGGTTTTATATAATCAGGACTCACCCACTAAATGAACGACAAAAAAATGTTCGAAAATGTTAGATATTACACATTTAATGAACAGTGAAAAAATGATATATAACCTTGCACTATCTCTTATACGGCGATTAAACTAAAACTGAACATAGGTATAAAAACAACCTACACGTTATGGATAGCAATAGAAAAAATAGTAGGGCTTCCAACAGTTGTCATGTCAACTCGTGATTCTGCTCGGAGTCACAAGCACAGGTAAAGGTGGAGAATCGCATATAGGGTTAGCAA